ATATCCTTTCTTTGGTGGATGCTCCTTGTGATCTCAGGTGAGTGATATTTGTTGAATGTTAGCCTCTGTCGTGTTTCATCCCTCAGCATGTGAGCAAGTCTTTCTTGCCTACAGGACTAGCTCATGAATTTAGATATGCTTTTCCTTTTTTATTCTTCTGGCAATTAAAGAATTTTCTCCTTCGAGGCTAGCACTCTCAGGCAAGCTCCTGTTGCTTCTTACTCATCCTTGTTTTCAAGCTAATGACTCACTTTTCACTGCCTCATTGCTGGCTGATTCTCAAACAAAACATGCTTTTTAGTCTCCCCCAACTCCTGTCTTCAAAGATCCATGCCTTTCCCTGCTGCTTCCTTCAACAATTCATGACTTCCCCTCCTCTCTCTTCCTAGTCGTAGCTTTTTGATTAGAATTAGAGAGCCCTGAAAAAGGCTGGTTTGCAGTTTCAGTGCTCAAGTGGTGATGTATATGTCTATTATATACTTAACAGGTCTACAAATACAGCGTGAGAAGTGCACAATTCGGACAACATTAACTAGCTAATTTGCAGCACCTCTCCCATCCCTTACTAAGGAGCTAGTCTGTTGGAGGTACTTACATGATCCCCATTCCTAAGGTGCTGGGGCACCTCACAGTCTCTAACATATTTATGCTCACAACACCCAGTGAGGTAGGGAAGTGCTGTTTTTCCCATGTGACAGTGTGAGGAACTGAGAGATTTGCCCAAGCGGAGCTGTCCCTTGGGTACGACGAATCAGGGCGACCGCTCCAGGTCCCATGCTTTGGGGGGCCCCATGGGCCAGTGTGATTGGCCAGCACAGTCATCTCTTCCGCCCCGGGCCCCGCACCGCCCTAGGGACAGTCCTATGCCTAAGTCACACAGGAAATGTGTGGTGGAGCAGGGAGTTTTATCTTCTATCTTCCAATTTCAACATTAGCACTAGCATGCTAACTACTGGGCCATGCTTCCTCTTCTAGTCCTTGCTTCTGCTCATCTTGCTGTCCTCTTGCACTTTAGATCATTTACTTCTGTAAGCAGAGTCAGAATGAGCTCTACCCTGACATCTGGTGGTGAGTTGTGGAAAAGGACTTCAGGAGCTGATCTCGTTTGCATGGGCACACCCACCCTGCCTAGCATGATGGGACTGCTTGCCCAAATGGTCACTTTGGCTGCTGTGGGATCCCCAGTCTCTTTGTTATTGGGGCAGGAGTAATAAAGTGTTGTTATCCTGGTTATGTGAATCAAGGACAGTAGAACTGTACTTGGCATTTTATGATGGAGGGACTTGCTCTCAACTAAGTAGCATTGGCTAGGCAAGGGACTTGGGTTCCAAAGCCTAGTGAACTGGGAGAGGTTAGGTATGTATATGTTGTAGTGTGGGGTCCTCTTTTAAGGGCCCTGAGCACTACTTTGATGCTGTGTCTCCCCATTATGTAATAACAGATCTAATTTTGACTCCATTAGGAGTCTTGTTTCATGCTGTAGAGCTGAAATCACTGATACCTAGGTCTAAGCATTAGACCTACTTTGGGCTAGTGGTTCTGAGTGTGCTATCAGTGGGGCCTTCCTCCTAACAGCTGAAATCACTAAAGAGCTGATGTTACTAAGAGCTGAAATCACTGCAGGATGGGGCTGAAGACATATTGGTGAGTGAATAGCAGAGAGGAGCGGCCAGAAGGATGGCTGATGAAGACTGCAGCAGAACCCCATGGAGAGGCGTGGGCACTCGGCTGTTGATATGAGCAGCGGAGCATGTAAGATGCCCCTATACCTCTCCCACTTCCATCCAGGCTTGGAGGTAAACTCTGCAGATGAACTTCCGAACTCTGGGGGCTGCACTGACCAAGGACAGAAAACTGTGGGGGGGGGGGGGTGAATTTTGGGTTGCTGGACTTAAGACCCTGAGGGGAAAAGGACACTGCCAAACTTACTTGGGGTGGGTCTTTTGTTTGTGGTTTGTGTTATGAATCCTGTTTGTGGTGTTTCCCCAACATAATGCCGCATTGTTTCCATCCTTTATTAAAAGGCTTTTGCTACACTCAGACTCTGTGCTTGCGAGAGGGGAAGTATTGCCTCTTAGAGGCACCCGGGAGGTGGTATGTAATTGTCCCAGGTCACTGGGTGGAGGCTCGAGTCAGTTTTGCATTGTGTTATTGAAATGGAACCCCTAGATACTGAACCCGGCCCTTGTTGCTGCCAGCTCTGATGGGCAGAAGGGTTACACTTCAATGCAGTCTTCTCTTTTCTCCAACCAAATAATTCTAGAATAATAATGGGGACGTGTTTGGTGTGTTTCCTCCAACAGTCTGTATGTGCTGTCAGAACGTTGAGCACTGCAAACTGCATCTGGCCCCCGTGAAGCAGGTAGTTATTACTACATTCATTTTGGAGACGAGTAACCAATGGGATAGGCTGCGTAAATGAAATTTTCAGTGTTGCAAAGCAGATTAGTGGCAGAGCTGCAAGAGAGAATCTTCCATGATTTCTGACTCCTAGGCCCCAGTAGTCGTCATTATGCCACACGATATTTCATTATTACTATTTTATTTTATTAATCACGTTTATTACATTAATGCTTAAGGGCCAACCAAATACAGAGTAGTAGATGGTCTCTGCCCTCAAGGAGCTTGCAGTTTAAATACATTATTTATATATAACAGATCAGGAGCCATAGGTGCTGAAACTAAGGGTGCTGGGGGAGCTACCGCACCCCCTGGCTTGAAGTGGTTCCCATCACATACAGGGCTTACAGATTGATTCAATGGCTCCCAGCACCCCACAACCCCCTATAAATTGTTCCAGCAACCTGTCAGGAGCTATGTATCAAAATAAAGAAATGACATTATAGTGAACAAACCTTCTCAAGAATGCTGATGATGATCAGATACTATATAATATTGCAGTTCTTCTATGTAGCCTCATTGTGCATTTCCATTAACTAGCAAAATACACAGTAATCAAGTATCGGTTTTCCTTTGTAAACATGTCTTGTTTCTGCCAGTCTCATGACTGCAAGGAGCTGCATTTCCTACTGGCTTGAAAGCTTGTATTTTAACACATTCCTAAGGCCTGATTCTCTGGAGCTTCATTAGACAGCTAAACTGAGGTGACTATTTTCCTCTCAGTTGGCTTTGCCTGTTTCACACCGAATTAAATAAGTGATAATGAGATTGGAAGCAGAGCTCTGTGTCAGTTCCAGAGCGTCTCTCTCACCAACAGAAACAGCTCCAATGAAAGATGTTCCCCCACCCACCTTGTCTCCCTAATAAGCAATAATAAGCATAAATTGCCAGAAAATCATTAAGCACCATATTGCACCATCAGTGTTCAACAGAAGTGTTCATTAAAATTAACGAGGCGCTCTGCCTGGAAATGAATGGCACAGTATAGCCTTAAAGCTGTGCCTTGGGGAAGTGTGTGTATAAGTAGACAGGGGGCAACGTGGTGAAACTATAATCAGATAAAAATGATATGAAATTGGAGTGAAGTTTGAGAGTAGATATCAGTGAAGGGTAAAACAAATGACAAGAATGTTACAATTGTCCCTAAAACAAGCATTATAAACCCAGGGAATTCACAATGCGGGTTAAACCAGAAAGAAATCCAAAGATGCTAAAGCACCCAGACAACCTTAGCTTTGCCCTCCAGTGACACTAGGAGGATAAAACATGGAGAAAAAACACTAGGAGGAAAAAAAAGTCTAAAAAATCAGTTTAATGTAATCTGGGTTCATAAACACAAAATGTCTTAATAAGAGTGTATGGTTATTGCATGACATCACTAGAGGGCAGAGTGAAGGGAACCCTACAAGGGCTGCTAGGAATTATTGTTTTCGAGGGCATCGGAGAGTTATAGGCCACTGCAGCAAGACATGCTAGGAAGATTATATAAGCAGCTCCCTTCCCTGTAGAAGAGGCCAGACTGTGGAGAGATCTGTAGACAGGGAAGTACAATATGTCTGAGTCCTGTGTTTTTGATGTGGAAAAGAACCCATGGGAGGAGCACCTTATTTTACTTTGAATCTTGTTGCAAGGCAGGAAAGGGGGAAAGTAACCTCTGGGAGGGAAAGTTTTGTTTATTAAAAGGGACTTTGGGCCTTCCCCGCCCACCCCCACCCTACACTTCCAAAGGACCAGGAAAAGGCAGAGCCCTGGAAATGGAAGATTGATGGTGTAAAGAGAACTCAAGGGATGTGGAGGTATTTCTGTTTGTCAGCCGGCCACACTGATGTGCAAGCAATAATGGGATCATTTCGCCTAGCAATGAAATGCTGCCACCTCTGGGGTGAAATGAGCAGCTATTTCACACAACACTGCCCAAAAGCTTCCATGGGGAAGGGAAGACTACCCTGTTCAGGTGGGTATTGACATAGCACCCTAATGGGCGCTATGTGCTTTACAGACATGGGCCCTGCCCTGTGGAGTTTATAATCTGACCCGGACATACGCACCGGAGGAAGTACAAAAATAGAGGGGAGGCTGTGCAGGGAAGGAGGTGGGGAGGATGTGGGCTGCATCTACAAGAGAATGAAATTGCTTTCTGCAAACACCTTGATTTGATTTATTTCTCACAATGTGTTACAGTTCTAGTCCGGAATGCTTGCTGTGTTCTTGGAACGTAAGGAGTCAGGGTGCAACCACCGGCATTAGAATTCAATTGGGACATCCTCCCCTCACAACAACAGGATGGGAACTGGCAGAATAGGTGCATGGGAGTGGGGCAGCACTGAGTGAATCTCAGACAGAGAGGCTGTGGCAGGGGGCGGCTTGGGCAGCCCTTGTCCCAGATTATCTCTGTCAAGGGAAAGTTCAACTGCTGGAGGGTTTGAAGGTCGAGCTGGGGTGCATGGGAACTGACACTAACATTGCTGTTTGTGTGAATGAGGGATTCCCTGGAAGCAACTTCCTTGCTGAACCCTCCTTCCTCCCCTTGCAGAAATCAGACACCAGAACTCCTAATCACTCCCCTTTTCAGGAAAAGCTTCTCTGCTCTTTCTGTGAGGAAGCTCCTCTCTCTCTCTCTCTCTCTCTCTGCATTAGTTTCTCTTGGCCAGGCATCTTTACAGTTTTCTTTCCAGCTAGGACTTTGCTGAATACATTCAGTTGATTTCCCCCAGCTAAAACATGCCATGTGTGCAGAGAAACTGGATTGCCAACTTTTCCTTTTGGGTCCAGTTCCTTCTCATGCAAGCGCTCTGCTATGGCAGAAATCCTCCACCGGGCAGATTTTTCTTTCCAGACAAGAGGCAAGGTCAGTGGCTTCTCTCATTTTAATTAAAGTTATGCTTAATAGATGCAAACTCTGTGTCCTTTCTCCCACCACCTCTGATCTAAATAAACTAGGGTCACCAAGATCTAAGTAAATATATTCAGTTTATTCTTTTGTATGGAGTAATCTCCACGTCTGTATTTACACAAAGTTTCACTTACAGAATCTAACTTCCATGCAGCTTTGTGACTGATTTACTTTCCCCACATCAGCATTTCTGCTTCTCACACTAGAGAGTGCAAACCTTACAGTGTTGTGCTAGTTACTTCCCCGCCCCCCCCTCAGTGCAGAAATGTCTCCCTGGCTACAACAGCTCATATCTTTTGGAGTCTGAACTTGCAGCTCTGTACTTGCTATGCTTCTGTAGCAGACAACTTGATTTTAATGTTGATGTCAATGAAGCACAATGTAGACAACTCAGACTGTCATGTTGTTGCCTTCCAGAAGCAATTAGGCTAGATTTCAGTTCAAAATTTCATTGTTGAACTCTATATTCATTATAAATTTACTCTTAACGGGCCTGTAAATACCCACCTCATTTCTCATTACAAAATGTAGGCAGTTCAGAGTCTTGGAAGTAGACTATTTCTTCTTAGTAGCAACTCTTTAATGTTATGTTGTGATACAGCAACACAAAATTGGCTTAAAGGCCATTGCCATCTGGAGCTCAGTTCTCCTCCCCTTGGATACAAAATGAATTGGAGTTATTCATTCTCGTGGAGGGAGGGAATTAAGCCACTGGATTATATTTCTGTCTGTTTGTCTCCATCCCCCAAACTGGGCTGTATCATCAGCTGGATTAAACTGATATAGTTCTATTACCCTGATTTACACCAGCTGAGGATCTGGCCTCCTTTGTGTAACTGATTGATTTAATATTTTTTCAAGTTTTGGAGAAATCCTAAAAAAATCCCTCTGTTCACTGAAAGAGACTCAGGACATGGTTGGAATAATCCATGCTTTGCAAAAGCCTCTGCATAGCTGTGGAGTGAGAGACCTGAAAAGTGCAGAAGAAAATTTGACAAAAACCCTTTTGGTCTAATCTGGAGCCTTCATCCTGACAGTGGAGGAGTTTGGGCAAGAGGGAGAAAATCACCTAGTCTGGGGGCTCAAGTAGGGTAACCAAATGTCCTGATATTATTGGGACCATCCTGATATTAGGGGCTTTGTCTTATATACACAACTATATTACCTCCCCTTCCCCAGAAAAAAAAGTGTCTCATTTTTTTCACCCTGGCTATCTGGTCACCCCATGCTCAAGACAAGGAAAACTGATTAAATAAGATGGCGAAGCGGTGAACAAAAACTACCTTGGAGTTTCTCTTTTCATTCCCTTTAAACAAAATCAGCAGAAACTATTTTGGTCTTTGTGACAATATAATAAAAGGAAGTGGAGCAGCAAATGATTGCTGTAGATTTGCCTGGAAATGGATGTAGAATTAATTTCTCTTTCTATACACTGCAGGCTCCAGGGCCCATCAAGAGCCTAAAAATAGAGATTTGAATAAATTAGCACCTCAACCTGCTTTCTGTGGTTAGTTGCCGGGCAGGTTCCTTGTCCTAGCAAAGGCAAGGGAATTTTATTTATTGAGTGTATTGATGCAATGTTAATATGAAATGTTGCTGCCGTCAGAAAAAAGGTGGTCTTTAGAAAAAAAAACAATCCTGGTTTCTCATCAAGCTGAAATGTCTTTAAATGGTCTATTCAGTGAGTGTCCGATAGGAAAGTGGCTTATTGGGGAAACTTATGCTTAAGAAGAGCCAATGTTAAATTCTGAAAGTGTATTTAAATTAATATTCCCTTTGGGGGAATCTTCTGATCCTGGGGATTCCACCAAATACAGCCAGAACCAGGGTCTTTCTTTGGCCCAGAAGAAGTGCCTTACAGAGGCTGAGAACTGCAATCCATATGCTATCCAGAGGGGTCATTTGAAAGCAGACTAAATGGTCTGGGAGGGAGATTTAGAGAACTTGAAGCCAGGATGCAACAATGGCAGGTGACACTGTCTCTTATTTTAAAGGGACACCGTCTATTTAGAAAAGTATTTATATTTCTGTCTGAAAGTCTTTAACCATCTCTTGTTGTAAGTGTCACCACTAAGAGATGACAGAGACTATTAGAGAAAAAATAGATTTCTCTCTTTATTTTAGTTTGTTTGCTGTGTGCGGTGGGCAGCCCTTTATATGTCCTCAATTTCTCCATAAGAAGTATTCTCTTTTGTGTAGGTGGCTTTGAATCCCCCCAAGAATGGAAGAGACAAAAACATTTTTAAACACAAGACAATGTGATTGTAAAACCACAAGTTGGCAGGGAGGCTTATCTGCAGATGCTGCAGCTCAAGTGACTTTAAATTGCTTTTTTTTTTAATTGTTTATGTAACCCCCATGGGATTTACCATTTTGCTGATCACCCCGGCCAATTTTTCAAAGCCAAAAGGGTTCATTTAGATGCAGTGCCCCCAGGACATACATTGACCATAGTGCCTGCTGACTGGACTTCTAGTTTTGGCTCTAGTTACCACAGCAACATGAGCCCGTCTGTTCAGGAAGTGGTTAAAAAGGGCTCCAAGCACCCTCAGAATCCCATAAAGCTACCTCTGTTCTTCCTCTCCTGGCCTACATGTCCTGAGCTGTGACTTTTGATAGGGCCAGCTTAGAATCAGAGCCAGGAACTTCTCTCTGAAGGGAGGGTGGAGAGGAAGGCTGAGGAGAAGTTTGAGAGTCAGATGGAGTGGCTCCACCGTAGCTCTCCCAGTCCAGACTCTGCTGCTGCTGACACGAGGCACTTAAGATCCTGAATGCTCTTGGTGAGGACTTTGCCGGAAAATGCCAAGCCAGAGCTCAAAAGGAGAGCCCCTCACCAAGACAGAGGGAGTGGTGTATCCAGCCCTCCTCAGTAGCACCTTGGTCCCTGACCTCATCTAGGAGGAAAGAAACTGTGAGGTGAGCTGGATAAACTCCTGTCATGGTTTAGAGGAGGTGTCACGTTATCCCGCCTTCCACAGAGATTCAGTCATTTCACTCCATCACTGGAGTCCTTTACCCATAGCATTCGGCCTCACAGTCAGCAGCAGTCAGCAGCGGGTGCTCAGGACTTGTAGCAAACAAACACAGAAATTATGTTGGGCCTTAGCCTTCCCATAACTGAAGTTTGTTCAGTAGGGGTGTTGAAAGGGAAAGTTGGTTTGCGGGGTTTTGCAATAGAGTGTATCCACCTTTCTTTTTAAATAGTTTTCTATTTTCAGTTTCCCACCTCTGTTAGTTAATATAAAGCCATTCAAGCTAGAACTGCCCAGCTATTCTGCGTCAGTGGCCACTTACACCGATGACTTAGGCTGTAAGTGATATAAGGCCATGGAACATATATCATGGTAGCACATGAGGGGCGGCTCTACCCATTGTGCGGCCCCAAGCAGTCGCTGCCGAATTGCTGCCATCGCCGCAAGACCGGTGGAGCTGCTGCCCAAAAGCCGCTGCAGCGGGAAGAGCTGGGAAACAAGCAGGGAGAACTGGAAGCCTGGCCCAGTCAAGGAATTATGATGTGACTGGAATAACAGAGACTTGGTGGGATAACTCACAGGACTGGAGTACTGTCATGGATGGATATAAACTGTTCAGGAAGGACAGGCAGGGCAGAAAAGGTAGGGGAGTTGCATTGTATGTAAGGGAGCAGTATGACTGCTCAGAGCTCAAGTATGAAACTGCAGAAAAACCGGAGAGTCTCTGGATTAAGTTTAGAAGTGTGAACAACAAGGGTGATGTCGTGGTGGGAGTCTGCTATAGACCACCAGACCAGGGGGATGAGGTGGATGAGGCTTTCTTCTGGCAACTCACGGAAGCTACTAGATCGCAGGCCCTGGTTCTCATGGGAGACTTCAGTCATCCTGATATCTGCTGGGAGAGCAATACAGCGGTGCACAGACAATCCAGGAAGTTTTTGGAAAGTATAGGGGACAATTTCCTGGTGCAAGTGCTGGAGGAACCAACTAGGGGCAGAGCTCTTCTTGACCTGCTGCTCACAAACCGGGAAGAATTAGTAGGGGAAGCAAAAGTGGATGGGAACCTGGGAGGCAGTGACCATGAGATGGTCGAGTTCAGGATCCTGACACAGGGAAGAAAGGAGAGCAGCAGAATATGGACCCTGGACTTCAGAAAAGCAGATTTTGACTCCCTCAGGGAACTGATGGTCAGGATCCCCTGGGAGAATAACATGGGGGGGAAAGGCGTCCAGGAGAGCTGGCTGTATTTTAAAGAATCCTTATTGAGGTTACAGGGACAAACCATCCCGATGTGTAGAAAGAATAGTAAATATGGCAGGTGACCAACTTGGCTTAACAGTGAAATCCTTGCTGATCTTAAACACAAAAAAGAAGCTTACAAGAAGTGGAAGATTGGACAAATGACCAGGGAAGAGTATAAAAATATTGCTCGGGCATGCAAGAGTGAAATCAGGAAGGCCAAATCACACCTGGAGTTGCAGCTAGCAAGAGATGTTAAGAGTAACAAGAAGGGTTTCTTCAGGTATGCTAGCAACAAAAAGAAAGTCAAGGAAAGTGTGGGCCCCTTACTGAATGAGGGAGGCAACCTAGTGACAGAGGATGTGGAAAAAGCTAATGTACTCAATGCTTTTTTTGCCTCTGTCTTCACGAACAAGTTCAACTCCCAGACTGCTGCACTGGGCAGCACAGCATGGGGAGAAGGTGACCAGCCCTCTGTGGAGAAAGAAGTGGTTCGGGACTATTTAGAAAAGCTGGACGAGCACAAGTCCATGGGGCCAGAAGTGCTGCATCCGAGAGTGCTAAAGGAGTTGGCGGATGTGATTGCAGAGCCATTGGCCATTATCTTTGAAAACTCATGGCGATCGGGGGAAGTCCCGGACGACTGGAAAAAGGCTAATGTAGAGCCCATCTTTAAAAAAGGGAAGAAGGAGGATCCTGGGAACTACAGGCCAGTCAGCCTCACCTCAGTCCCTGGAAAAATCA